CTTTGATGATGCAAAAAAACTTTTTTCGAAGCTTCCATCATCTATCAAAGCATATAATGATGGAAAAGGTGTTCCAATAGAATATACTCTTTATCCACTGTCAGAACTCTCTAAAATATTATCACAAAATTTTTCAATTAATCGTGTGATAAAAGATTTAGACGATGACACTATTGAAAGAGTAGATCGAACTTTTACTGATTTATTTAAGTCAAAACAAAAACTTTATGATTTATATAATGATGCAAATTTGATCTCTCACTTCATACCTGATAAGCTATTTAATGAAATTAATAATTTCGTACAAAATGTTAATTCGGAAGAAACGAAATTCAGACGTAAACTTTCAGAATGTCTTATAAATATACGATCTGGTAAAAAAGATATAAATAAACTTGAAGATATGATCAATGAATTTCAACAAAGCGTCTTATCAGAAACCTCAATCACATTATTTATTAATAAACATAAATCAATATCTACGAAAGCAGATCTATTACCTATTCTAAAGGCGAGAGGGATAGATTACCATAATAAAAATTTAACTATTAATCAAATTTTATTAGAGCATACAAGAAAACATATTTATATATTTTACGATACTGATTATATTCTTAATATCGATTCGCCAGTATGGAATGCATTTTTAAATATATCCAGTATAAATGAGGGGTCGAACAAGTTCTTTATAGTAGATCCTATATTGCTCACAGGGACAGACAGACCCAATCATCCAGTCATTTATCATTATATTAACGGATGTCTAGATAGTAAAGATTATTATAATGAAAATAAAAAGCTATTCACATCAAATATTATTAAATTTAACACTTTACCATGCATTAAACCGAACTATATTCCCAATAAAAAAGACCGGCTGATAGTACCTTGCCCCTGTTCGTTAATGGATGATTGTTTACCCTTAAACCTTGAATGGATTTGTTTCAGATGCTTACGTTATATAGAATATGGGTATAACGAGCATTTATATTGTAAATGTGGGGAAATCAAAATCGATCATTGTAGATTTAAATGTAACAGTTCATTTCATATTGGCGGTTATATCTCCTTTGACCAAACTAAATTGGCTGACTATTTACCATTAGTAGCTCCACAAGAAGTAATTAACATATTGTTGCTCGGTGAAACTGGAGCAGGAAAATCCACATTTATAAACGCATTTGCAAATTATTTTAAATTTAATAATTTAGATGAGGCAATTTCTGGTGAGATAGATGTATTGATCACATCCGGATTTACGATAACAAACGATGACTACGAAATGAAAACGATAACGGTGGTTGGTGAAGATGAAGACGAAAACGATTATAATGTAGGTGAATCATCCACTAAAGAATGTGGTGTTTACGTGTTTCATGCAGGTGAAAATCAAATAAGATTAATCGATACACCTGGAATAGGAGATACCAGAGGGATTGAATATGATAAAAGAAATTTTGAAAATATTTTGAAGAATATAAGTCTGCATGAATATCTGAATGGGATCTGCATACTTCTTAAACCTAACAATACACGACTGAATATGATATTTAAATATTGCATGCAAGAACTATTATCACACCTTCATAAAAGTGCTAAGGATAATATTGTTTTTTGTTTTACTAATACAAGAGAAACGTTCTTTCGCACAGGCGATACATTACCAGTGTTAAAGAGACAAATCAATGAAATTAAAAAACAATCTGATATTGAAATAGAAATTAGTAGAGATACATTATATTGTTTTGATAATGATTCCTTTAGATTTCTTGCAGCAATTAAAAATAATGTTTCATACTCAGAGAATACAAAGAAAAATCATGAACTTAGTTGGAACAACTCTGTAGAAGAATCAATAAGACTCCTTAAACATATTATAAATTGTACACCTCATAAAATAATTGATACTGTATCGATCAATAATGCCAGACAAACGGTGATGATTTTTTGCGAACCTCTCGCAAAGGTAAATCAAAATATTCAAGAAAACATAGCCAAAGTTAAAAAATTAAAAGAAGAAATACAAACAACTGATTTAACCGAAGAGGAGCTTAGGAGCAAGCTGTATGTTCCACATATAGAGCTTAAGATAACACTATTGAAACAACCAAGAATTGTGTGTAAAAATTGTAAAATACAAAAAATCGATATAACAATGAGATATTGCCATGTCAAATGGAAAATATTGACCAAATTTATGCTAAAGTATCATGGAACTATGATGTTTGGGAAGTGTAAATCATGTGGCTGCTCCGCAAAGAGTCATGAAGCAGTCTTCTATGAGAGCATATCTGAATATTCAAAGAAAGTTGATGAAACTATAAAAAATAAAATTTTGGAAAATAAAGAAAATCAAAATAATAAGCAAGATCATATAGGAATTCTCCAAGACAAGATCGACCAACTCAAAGAAGAACAGAGTATAGTCGATGAAATTATAATCCAGTTTACACAATTTCTAATGCAAAATGCAATAGCTGTTTTCAATGATGCATATATGGAATATCTTGACTATATTATACATCTTGAGAAAAATAAAAATAATGAAGATTATAATAACGAAATTCTTGAAGGACTTGAAGAAACAAAAAGAAAATATGATGAAAAGGTGAAAGTTATTAAAAAGATGATTGAAAATAATGATTCCTCTTCACACACACTCTCTTCTGAAGACATATTTAAACTTGAACAGAAATTATATAACTTACCAGATATCGGTCAATATTTACAAGATGTAAAAAAAGAAGAGAAAAAAGCATTCAAGTATCGAGAAAAACATTATGAACTTCCTAATAGTGTGTTAAAAACTTTAAAACCAAATTTTAAAAATTAATACAATTCGAAAAAGAACAGTTTTTGGTGATTGTAGTATTCTTGGAATTGGAGTTGAATAAATGCATGTAAGGCGTTTATTCTGGTGAGATTTATATAATTACATTACCAGGAATAGTGTGTAACAAATTCAAATCCTATTATATTTGTACGTTTTTGCTCAGCCTTTTTTAATCGCATGGTGATAGTTCCATCATCTACATTATGTAATTTTTACCCTGTTCGTATAGGCTGATTGCCAATCTGTGATTTTTGTGATAAGGCCAGACCGATTAAATTCTGTGTTTTACATTACCCCCCCTCTCATAGTAAAAAAAAAATTCTGTATAATTATAAAATAACACAAAGGAGTAATGTTTTTAATTTTAGTCAAAATTAAGCTTAATTAAGCTGAAATATGAAATTACTTTCCTGTGCATTATTTTGTAATTATAAAGTAATAAATTAATAGAGTAACAGGTTAAACTAACAAATTATATATTTATATAACTATTTTCTCTTTATAAATTTTTATTTTTAAAAAATGTATTTTATATAAACTCAAAATAATATTCAAGAGTGAAATTGAAATTTGAATTAATATTCCTATATGTTATTTTATATTTATATAATATAATTTTTATAATTAATATGTTTAAAAAAAAATAAATATATTTATAAACCTTATAAAATTTAAAATTTAATAACTCCAATATCATTTTTCAGATTCATCATTCATTTTATTTAATTTTAATTTCAATTTGAATAAAATGATTTTTTTTTGATTCATTACATTTCTTACAACATGGATAAACTTTTTTAATTTTTTTTATTAATTCAATTTGTATTTCATTTAAATCAAATTATTTTTTTTACATGCATAGTAGTTGGTTTCAATAGGTAAGTTGCAAAATATATGTTTATAAACAAAAAGCATATTATATAATAAATGATTTTTTCTTTCTGCAGATCATTTATACCAAATTTTTGCTAAAAATATTTAATTATTCTCAAGTATTTTACTAAGTTAACCTTACTTGTACCCTTAAGT